GACGGACGGACGGACAGACAGTCACCGCTTAATCGATTTCTCTTTTCATTCTGATCATTTATGTATACATTTGTCTATATCTATCTCGATTCGTTTTGCCTGTTACAAACAACCGTTATGTGAACAAAGTTATAATACCCTTGTGCACAAGTGCGCTCGGGTATAAAAATGGGAGTATATATATTTATATTTTCTATATGTATATTTTTTCGATATAGAACAATCCTAGGGGGTAAGAGCACTAAAATTCCGAATTTCTTATTTTGGACCAACCTAATGTAAACACGTACATATGTAAACTCACACACTTCCATAACAAATGCGAATATAGTTCTGGACATGCTAGTTGTATGCATGACTTAGGAATGTTATCCCAGACTTTTTAAGTCCCGAAAATCCCGCGATTATTTGCCAAGAATCCCGGGATTTTCGGGATTTTTAATTTGCAATGGTGGCAATAATATAATGCCTTATGTTGACCAGTTTACATACACATAACACCGTGCAACAGGCAATTTTACACACAAAGGCATTGCAAATGTCCTTAAAAATGCTATCCTTGAATAGCTTTGAAATTTTGCAATATTTATTTTGAACAAATTATATGTTAAGGACTAATTTAAACTCGACAGCGTCCTCGAATATAGTCCTTCTAACTTAATTAGCTTAAAAAAATAAAATTGATTAAAAGGGTGATTTCATTACCTGTTCGTCCTTGTGAACCCAAAACAATTAAATTTTTTTAAATCCTACAGAATCTTTTCTTTCATTTGGTACCCATTTTTATTCTACATTGCACTGAGTTTTTTAAATAATTTTTAGAAGTTATCATATCTTGGAAATTATAAAGTTCTAATAAAAAAATTCTAAAACTAAAAATGGAGTTTTGCAGTGAGTATATTGATTGCTTGGCGTGTTTTGAAATTTCAATCAAGTATAGCCCATCAAATTACAGGAAAGGCTAAGGTAAAGTAGCCCTTGCCTATATGATTATCATGTGTTAAGAAATAGTTTTTGACATTTTCTGACAAACGTATTATTTTGAGTTTTGACTCTTTTGAAGACGGTGTGCGATATGTTGACTTATTTTTTTTTTTTTTGCTTCGAGCTTTTTTCGACATGCCTTAAGTTATCAGATACGTAAACGCTAAAGAGTTGTTAAATGCGTATAAATTTAGTTACTGTATTTTGAAATATTTTTCAACTTAAATAATAAAGTAGATTTCAAACCCACTTATTTATTATTTATTATATTGTAGGACAGCTTCTCAAACTATATTCATATTGATTCATGTTAAGTTGTTGGAAAATAATGAATATCTGGGACTAATCCCGCGATTGTATTAACGATGTCGCGAAAATCCCGGGATCGCAAAAATTTAAAAAATTAACATCCCTAGTATGATTGCATAGGTGGGAGCAACGTTGCGTATGTGCAACATTGAAATATCTTTGTAATTTATTGCTGATCACGAGCACACTTCGGGAGAGCACTTGTGCCAGAGAGGACGCGATTCTGTAGACGTGCGTTCGTCAAATTGGCATTTCATATAAAAGTGATGGTCGGCATCTCCATCAAAAATAGTCGGAATTAGTATTTGAATACAATTAAGTGTGAAATCAAAGCGGTGTTGAAGGAAAAAAAAAAACACCGAATAGTAATATAAAACAACCACAAAACTATAAAANTATCTCCATCAAAAATAGTCGGAATTAGTATTTGAATACAATTAAGTGTGAAATCAAAGCGGTGTTGAAGGAAAAAAAAAAAACACCGAATAGTAATATAAAACAACCACAAAACTATAAAAAAAAACTTTGGAAAACTTAGCTGAAGCATAATTTTTTTTTATTTATTACTAAAAATGTCGCGCTTTCTTCAAGTCCTCCTCGCCGCCGTATTAGTCTGCAGCGCTACGCATGCGCGACAGTTACGCAACAACCACTACTCAGCGCGCATCGAAGAGGCTCCCGATAATGCGGACGGTGGGGTAGTAGCTGTTGTGAAGCAAGTGTATCCTACGCCTTACCCAGCTGCAGGCTATAGACCTGGACGCGCATTCAATTTGCCTGGTGAAGATGAGGAAGCTGCAGAAGATGGCGTGCAGGAGGAAGAAGGCTCCGGGCTAGCCACTACCACAACTAAGCTACCAGAGGATTTACTCGCCACCACAATTACGGAGGCCATAGACACAGAAACCACAACACTATATAACTGGGTGGCGGCTGAGATTTCCAGTGACGAGCAGGGACGCGCTGTTAAGGCGCCCTATCCAGCCGCCGGTTGGCGTCCAAGTCGCGCATTTCTGTTGCCCACCGAAGTGAAAGCCGCGCAAGAGGCCGAAGCAGCGGCAGCGGTTACGCAAAACGATAGCGATGTGGTTGATGCGCTTCCCACCAGCACCGCAACACCGCTCGCACCTTTTACCACTCAACTTTCTATGCTCGACGAAACTGCAACGGAGGTGGACGCAGATAATGCTGTTGTCCCCGCAGCGCCTCAATCGGCAGTTTCGCGACGCTCCAAAGCACCGTATCCACCCTCCGGTTGGCGCCCGAATCGCGCTTTTCTGCTGCCCACGGAGGTGAAGGTTTCCGCTAATCAAGAATCAGCCCTATCCGTGAATGAGCCCGAAGCTGAATCACCTGTATCGCCAGCGGACAAAGCTGGACATCCCGCTTGTGGTGTGAGCGATAATCCGGTAGCGCCGAAGCCTGAGGAGGGTGCCAAAGAGAATCCGGATGCCGAACGTGTTTATGTCACAGCGAATCTGGGTCCAGCCGTGGTGAATTCACCGCTCACATTGCCTGTGCTGTTGCGCTCAGAGCGGCTCATCTCGCCGCCGATTTATGTGCCGGCCGGTCGTTCCTTCGCCTACTCCGCCACGGTGCAGAGTTGGCGCTAAGGTGCTTAGCTAATAAATCTTTGTAATTATGAAGAATGTAAATAATATATATTTTTAAGGCTGATCTTTTTTATATACATAAATACGAGTTATATACCCACAGAAAACTAAAAGGAAAATATAAATAAGATTCTACTAAAGCAATCAAACTCTTACACTTTACTTACAACCTATTTAGCAAGACACATCAAAACCGCATCGGTATTTAATTTAACTGTCTTTTAATTAATTACTACAAATAAATCCTTTTCTGTGAAACTTATGCACACACGTACATACATGCAAACAACCTTACATAACATTTTTCAGTTACATAATTACCGTGAAAAGTTACTTACTTTTGCTATTTGTGTTACTTTGCTTTGCTTTAATTTTTAGCGTTGGTTGTTAAAGTTTTAATTACTTCCATTTGCCACTTTGAGCAAAAATTACAAAGTCTGTCCGAGAGTTGTGTTCGCTCCTCCCGCCCTGCCCTCTGTGGATGCGTGTTCGTCCCCAATTTCGTTCTTATTTGTTCGTTT